GAGTAAGCTTCAAGATGCCAATGAACTTTATATAACCCTGCCTCACAAGATTTTAACTCATCCAGGATGGACCGCACTTTCAACCTCACCTAGATCTCATAAAAATCTCCAACGCGATTAGATACCAAGTCGTGAGTATCGTGTCCACGTTACGACTCCACCGCGAGGAAAGAAGTGCCAGTAGATAGCTGTTCAGATATGTAATTCAAGGTAAGTCAGGCCTCTTCTAAATCTATCATATCCATTCAATTCAGTCATCACATCGATTTAAAACTCAAGTATCAGTCCTTTAAAGTCCTTTAAAGTTTTTATTCCACAATCATTAATAGTCTCGAAAACTACTTACATCGAAAATAGGTGACATCGTAGATTGCAATAAGAAATAGGCGCCTTTTAAATCGAAAAGCATATCATGTGATATGGATGAGGCCAGGTTTGCCTTGAATTCCAAACAACAATGATATCTCCGAAAAGTCTAAGAAAACCAGCTACTATTAGCAAAAGTATTTAGATTAGGAATCGAACCGTCAGGATGACTGCAACTACAACTTCCTTAGGGCAATCCTTTTACAATCTAAGCATCGTATCATCATACCACCACAATGGCATCCCTCCTCAATCGATCGCACGTGGCCAGTACTGACACCTGACTCTCAAAGAATAAGGAGGTTTACACTTCCACAGCGTCACTCACAACCAATTCAAATGACTCACTTCCCTGAAGAGATGACACTCACGAATACTTCAGGAAACCAACAAGCCCTGGTCATACTTCGCTTCATAAAACATATACATTGGTTATTATATGAAGAATACTTATTCTTAATCTAGGGTTTCCTGCTCCCCAATATTCTTATTTTGTTTGGTTTGGTACTGAAAAGGAAGCTCGTTGTTCTCTGATTCTGCCCAGTTAGTATACATATTATCACATCTCTAACTCAATGATGCTTGCTACTGTAGATCATAGAAGTAAATCAAGAAGTCAAAATGTGAATTTCTATGGGATGCACTTATTCGTGAAACAGGAGATAAGTAAATGAAAAAAAATCAGAAGTAGCTCTATGCAACTGGTTAGGCTTTACTCAATGAGCCATTAAATAAAACTAAAAGCCGAATTTAAACCCGTATTTCTTCAAACATATTGGATATGAATGAAAGGGAAAAAGATCAATTTAAATATCCTGGATGCTAAATCATGAGGCGGAAATTCGCCTATAGATAAAAGCCTATATGACTATGCTAGATAAAGATCAGTGCTCTAGAGATACCAAATAGCAATGTGATGAGTGCATGATGTAGATAATAGGGTTAGGCAAAAAGAGAAGAGAGAAACATTGCGGAATGCAATACCACGAACCTTAGCAAAAATGTCTGCCATGATCCGCTTGTCCGGGGCTAGGACATTCGTTTCGTCGGAAGGTAACGCCACCGAAGGAAACAGGCTATAATGGGGTGCTAACAGAGCATTGTCGGCAGCTCCATTTGCTCCGAAAGATGGACGGATATTACCGCTCCTCTCAACCGAGTCGTTTCCAGAACCCCAAACTAGCTTATAGCGGGGCATATGTAGTTCGATGAGACTGACCGAATCGAAGCCATCTGAAGTGACGCAGTTAGGGGGAGGAAGACAAAAAATAGGTCATTAAAGTCCCTCTATCATACTATATGTAGCGGCCCTTACAAATTAAAGTAATATTGAAGGTATGAAGACCAAGATGGGATGGCCTTTTATATGGTCGCAGTCTCCTTTCGTTGTATAGAAGTTGTTTGACCCCGTTTTCTCAACTTGGTCATATTCGTAGGAAGACTTATAGGAATGCACCTAGTCCGGAGTCCATTGTATGCATGATCATTTCCAAAGTCGAACCATGGACGTGGTACATTCCCAGACGTTTCGCCGGCATCGTAATCGGCATTGTCAGTGAGTTTTGCCATCGGAGCA